GTTTGCCCGGCTTCCCTCACTTTTTTTTTTTTTTAAGATTTATTTATGCCAGGCGTTGGTGGCGCACGCCTTTAATCCCAGCACTCGGGAGGCAGAGGCCGGTGGATCTCTGTGAGTTCGAGGCCAGCCTGGTCTACAGAGCAAGTTCCAGGACAGCCTCCAAAGCCATAGAGAAACCCTGTCTAGAAAAACCAAAAAAAAAAAAAAAAAAAAAAAAAAAAGATAGATTTATTTATTACATATACCATGTTCTGCCTACGTACCAGAAGAGGGCACCAGATTGAATTGTAGATGGTTGTGAGCCACCATGTGGTTGCTGGGAATTGAACTCAGGATCTCTGGAAGAGCAGTCAGTGCTCTTAACCTCTGAGCCATCTCTCCAGCCCCCCCTCACTTTTCTTGTAGCCTAGGCTGTCCTGGATCTCCATATGTAACTAAAGATAGCCCTTAAATTCCTAATCCTCAGATCTCTGGCTTCTTAGTGCTGGTGTAACAGTTGTCAGTATCCTCAGTTTTCCCTTCCTTTCCTCCTTGTTATTTTATTTTTAAAAATGCAGGTGGTGGTGTCAGGGATGGAGCACACCTGCCTTTAATCTCAGCATTTGGGAGGCAGTGGCTGGAGGATCTCTGTGAGTTCGAGGCCAGCCTGGTCTACACATCTACACAGTGAGTTCCAGCCAGTCAGGGCTACACAGAGAAACCCTGTCTCGAAAAACCAAATATATACTATTTAATTTTTATGAATGCATATGTGTGTCTGTTGACATCTGTGCACATGTGTGCCTTGTGGCTGTCATTAGAGTTCAGAGATGGCGTTGGATTCCTCGGAGCTGGACATAGAGTGGCTGTGAGCTGCCCCACATGGTTATCTGTGTAGCCTTCAAGAACAGCAAGTGCTCTTTAGCCCCCAAGTCATCTCTCCAGAGTCCACTTCCCTCTTCTCTTCCTTCTGCTGCTCCCCTTACTTTGTAAGTCAGCCTCAAACTCACAGCGAACCTCTTGTTTTAGCTTCTGAAGTGCTAGGATTACAAGCTTGAGGCACGACACCTGGCTTTTGCGTTGTGTCTCAAAAGAGGGTCAGGGTCCTCCCTGCCTCGGCCTCCTGTGTGCTGGACAGGCCTGGGCCCTCGCACCAGCCAACTGTAACCTTCTTGCAATCTGCCGTCGTCAAAATCTGCCGTCGTCGTCCTTCAGTGCCGGTGGAACTGCTTCCTCTGCGTGCAGCCTAGTAGGACACCAACAGCAGGTCTTCTCTTCTGCTGGCAGAGGCCCCGCCTTCCCGACGCCCGTGGGGCTGCCTGGGCCAGCTCCCACTTCCCTATATGGGTGTGAATGTCACTCAGCCTGTTCGCCAACTTTGTTTCCCAGACCCAGGAAGAGCCACGCCTTGGTGAAGAGATGCAATCGCAGCTGCCACCAGGGAAAGGAAACTCAAACATCAGTAACAGTCACGTGGTTCATGCCTTAGTTTTTATTAAAAACAAAACAAAACAAAACACTAGCTCTACCTAGGTGGCCCATGGTGGTTTTGCACGCACTGAGACCCTGCCTCGGCCTCCCTCGTGTTGGGGAATGACAGTTGTATACCACCATGCCTGACTTGCCTGCTCATTTTGACAGACATATTTTGGGTGGTTTGGGCCTTGGGCAAGCTGCCACCTGCCCTTGGCTCTGAGGTTCAGGAATTTCATTAGGACATCTATCCAGAGTCTTTCTTCAAAGAGAGTTCACTCCAGAGAAGAAAAAGTTTAGGGAGATCCCTTGAATCATGAAGATGAGGATGACTGTAGATGTCTGATTCTCTTGTCTACTTCTTAAGCTCTGGGATGGTGCTGGCAACGGAGCCCAGGACATTGTGCAGCTAGGCGAGCACTTTACCAACTGAACTGTTTCCAGTCTCGGGCTCAGCACACTTTGGGTTATTTAGCAGCACAGGAGTAGTTTAGTTTTTACAATTATTTTGTGTGTGGGCACACGTGTCACAGAACACATGTGGAGATTAGTGAATGACTTGTGGGAGTTGGTTCTGTCCTTCCATTATGTGGGTCCCGGGGGATCAAATTGAGGTTGTCAAGCTTGGCAGCAAGCCCCTTTACCTCCTGACTCATCTCGCTGCCCTCAGGAGCGCTCTCCTGAGAACAGCACGAGAGGGTGCAGTGATTGGGCTGCACAGCAGTACTGATTATCAATGTATTGTTATTGTTATTTGAGTTTTTGGGACAGGGTTTCTCTGTAGCTTTGGAACCTGTCCTGGAACTCTGTAGATCAGGCTGGCTTCCAGCTCACAGAGATCTGCCTGCCTCTGCCTCCTGAGTGCTGGGATACAGCAATTTCTTTGACTCATTTCAGTATAACATTCTGCCTGGTATAACAGGCCTGTTTCACTTTTTTTTTTTTTTTTTTTTTTGGTTTTTCAAGACAGGGTTTCTCTGTGGCTTTGGAGGCTGTCCTGGAACTCGCTTGGTAGTCCAGGCTGGTCTCGAACTCACAGAGATCCGCCTGCCTCTGCCTCCCGAGTGCTGGGATTAAAGGCGTGCGCCACCAACACCCGGCCAGGCCTGTTTCACTTTACTGCATTCTACTTGGCTCTTTAAAGTCCTTCCAGTAGTCTGTGTACCTGGCCATGACAATCACAGATCACCGTTTGCATTTTCAGAGTGTGTGGGGGGGTCTTTCTCATCACTTCTTCATTACTTTGACTTAATAGGTAATTTGGCTCCCTGTTTAGGCAAAGTTGGTTCCCTTGAAAGGACAGACAGTTGTAAATCAGGCAAGGACTCTGGAATGAATTGGGGGTCAGACATGTTAATTCATTCCTGTCATCTTGGCACAGGAGAGATGGGGGTTGAAAGATTAGGAGTTTAATGCCGGCCTGGGCAACAAGAGACCCTGCCAAAGAAAATAATAGAGGAGACTGGGGCTGAATCTCCATTAGTAAGGCACTTGGTTAGCACAGCACTGCATGGACTGGCTGTGGGGCACATGCTTGTCATGTGGTGGGAGCTCCAGGGTCAGTTCATTCCTGGTCACACCTCGTGTGTAAGGCCAGTCTGAAAAGGATCAGTTCATTCCTGGTCACACCTCGTGTGTAAGGCCAATCTGAAAAGGAGATGGTGGGGCTGGAATATGGCTCAGAGGTTAAGAGTACTTGTCGGCTCTTCCAGCCCAGGTTCGATTCCTAGAATCCGTATCACATGGCAGCTCATAATTGACTGACTCCAGTCCCAGGATCTGATGCCTTCTTCTGGCTTCTGGGGGGGGGGGAACTGTACTTGGTGCAGATAAGCAGACAAAGCACCATTTACATAAAATAAATACTTAAAAAATGGCAAGAGGGTTGAAACCTTTTTGCTACTGTCAAGCCCAATGATTTGCTGATTTGGGGTGACAGGTTAGTTTTGTCTGCAAGTGGATGGGAAACAAAGGTTCTTAGGAAGTTCCTATCTAGCAGAGAAACTGTGGAGATGGAGAGACCAAAAGGGTTAAGCAGGGCATAGTGGAATTCAAGCTCATCCTGAGGTACATAGCAACAAGCTTGAGGCTAGTCGGGGATACAGGAGACCACATAAAAATACATCATGCAGGCTTGGTGGCATATGCGTTGAATTAGAACATTTGTTAGAGGAAGGAGCATCTCCTAAGTTTTGAGTACAGTCTGCGCTACATGGATTTCAAGGGCAGCTAGGAGTACATAGTAAGTCCCTATCTCAAAAACAAACAGGGTGGCCGGGCGGTGTTGGCCCACGCCTTTAGTCCCAGCACTTGGGAGGCAGAGGCAGGTGGATCTCTGTGAATTCGAGACCAACCTGGTCTACAAGAGCTACTTCCAGGACAGTCTCCAAAGCCACAGAGAAACCCTGTCTCGAAAAAAAAGAAATCCCCCCCCCAAAAAAACCCAAACAAACAGGGTGGGCTAGATAGTTCAAAGTGTACAGGTTCTTGCCGCCAAGCATGAGGCCGTGAGTTCTCTGGGACCCACATAGTGAAAAGAGAGGCCCAGCTCCTTGAAGTTGCCCTTAGACTTTAACATGCTTGTCATGGCATACACACTGACACCCGATAAACAGAATAAACGTTTACACTCCCTCCCCACCAACAAAAGAAAACCGAAAGAAGGCAGAGAGAGGCGATCTCTGAGAGTGGTGAGTTCCAGACCAGCTGGGGCTACACAGCGAGGCCCTGTCTCACGGGGGAAAAAGGAGAGATCAAAGCTACAACTTGAGTAAAGGGGTGCGGGAATCTAGGGCTACTCCGGCCCCCCACGACTCCTGATCTACAGGGCTTGGGGCGGGGCATCCCAGGAGCGTCCATGAGATTCGGTGGAGCCGACTCCCGCGAAGTATCGTCATGCAGGCAGCCCCCAGAAAAGCAGCAGGCAAGGAAGCCAAGCCCGCGACGGCGTCCTCAGAACGGGACCAGCGACGCGAGCCTGAAGATTCTCCTCCGAATGGGCGGGGAGGGGGGAGCGTCCCGAAACTCTCTTCTGAAGGTGGGTGGCGGCGTCCCCGACGCCCACGGGAATCAAGCCAAGCCACCGGCCACCCCAGTCTGCTCAGAGGCGCCCGTCCAGGCCCGACGGCCTCCGGTGCATTGTGGGTGGGGCGCCCCTGCTGCGCACTGCGGGGGAACCCTCCGCTCAGTCAGTTGCCGGCCGCCCTGCGGAGTCCGAGTAAGCCGGCCACGACTTGACGTGTCCTCCAAGACCGCACCCCTCACGGCGCTCCCGCCCCAAACCTACAGCCCACCCTCTCGGCGACCCGACTGGCCCTGCAACCCGCTCCCTTCTCCCATTGGACGCTCGCCCGTCAGTCGTCCTGCCCCTCCCCTCAGGCCCGCCCCAGCCGCCGGCGCGATCCGGAGGGCCAGCCGGCCAACGCGCTCATTGGCTGCTGGGAACTGTCTGTCCGGCGGCTGGCCACACCCACTGTGGGGTGCGGATCCAGAGCGCCCCGGCCAGACTTCATTGGCCTGCGGCGCCGCCACTCGGAGAGACGTGCTTCAACCCGGAAGTGTGAGAGGCGAAATCTGCCTAGCAACCGGGGAAGCCGGGCTGTGAAGCGGGCAATTTCAGTGTGAGAAGGAGCGGCTAGACCGAGCCGCGGCTCCGAGCGCGCCGAGGCAGCTCCTTCCGCCCGGGGTCAGCGCCCCGGCGCGCGCACGCGCACCCTCGCTGCCTGAGCGCGCCCCGCGCCGCCCGCGCAGTCGGTCGGTCGGTCGTCCGTCGTCCTGTCTCCGCAGCCGCCTCAGGCGCCACCCGAGGGAGCCGTCGCCGTAGGACGCGACCACACCGGACCCGAGCGTCCTGCCCGAGGCCGGCCCGGGGCCCAGCTGCCGATCGTGCGGAGCCGAGCAACTTCGGTGAGTGCGGGGCCGGCGTCGCTGCCGGGGTCCCCGGCTTCCGGTGCCCCGGGCTCCCCTGGCTTCCGCTTGGCCGGGCTGCTGCGTTTCCCTACTGGACTCTTGGGAGCCTTGCATGTGAAGGCCCCGTCTTGTGGGAGCCCCGAGCCGAGCGCCCCTTGCCTGGCTCCTCTCACCGGAGGCGTCCCTCCCCTCAGGGGACTGGAGTCTGAAGGTGCCCTTCTCCAGGACCTCGCCTCTCGGGGCGCTCCGAGAGGACTCCCGGCAGGGCTGGTCTCACTGCCCTCTCTGGGGGACGCGGCCCCGCTGAGCGGAGCACCTCCCTGCTAAACTCCGTAACTTTTCTCAGGACCTAGCCTGGGGGACCCTGGTTACCCCTGCCCGCGGGCGCCTGGGAGGGAGAGCCCCTTCCTTCGTGAGCTCTCTGAGACGTCGACCTTACTCAGAGAAACCCCCACTCAGTCCTTCCGGGTTCCCGAGGGGAGCCTCCGTCTCTGAGACTCTTCTGGCTGTCCTGCCTCCTTGAGGGTGTGCAGGCATTCTCTGGGGACCCCCTCTTTTTCGAGAGTCTGGCCTCCGTCCCCTGCTTCCGTAAAAGGTGGCTTTTTGTCTGATGAGCGCCCCCTCCCTTCCTTTCTGGGATTCTTGCCTCCCTCAGGAAGGTTCCACTTCCCTTAGGAGACACTTCTTTCTGAGGAATTTCTTCTGCGGAGGATGTGTCTGAGATCACCCAGCCTCTCGGCGAACCCCCTCCCACAACTTTCTGAGGACGTCGTTTCTCTGCGCTGGTTTCCTTTTTGTTTGTTTCAAGACAGGGTTTCTCTGTGTGGCCCTGGCTGCCCTGGACCTCTGTCGACCAGGCTGGCCTAGAACACAGAGATCCAGCCACCTCTGCCTCCCAAATGCTGGGATTAAAGTCACACGCCACCATGTGGGCCTGTTGTTTCATTTTTTGCACAAATCCCCTACGTGAAATTCTCTCCCTGCTTTTCCGTCCCTACTTTGAGTGAATCCTTTCTTTTTCCAAGTTTCCCCAAATAATCTGAAGTGCTCCTTGGAGGTTTCGCTGTCCCAATTTTTTTTTTTTCTCCTGAGACAGGATTTCTCTGTGTAGCTTTGGAGCTTGTCCTGGAACTAGCTCTGTAGACCAGGCTGACCTCGAACTCACAGAGATCCGCCTCCTGAGTGCTGGGTTTAAAGGGGTGCATCCCCTCATTTTTATTTTTAAGTGTTTTTTTTTTTGAGACTCAATCTTGATACATTGTAGCCTATGTTGTCATTGAATACCCAACACACGGGTTGCAGAGGCAGGAGGTTCTCTGAATTTGAGGTCAGTCTGCTCTACAGAGCAAATTCCAGAACAGCCAGGGCCACACAAACCCCCGTCTCAAAAAAAAACAAAACAAAAACAAAAGCAAAACAAAATAAATCAATTAATAAAAGATTTTCCCATCTCAGCCAATTAAGCAAGTCCTGGGATTACAAGCGGTATGCCACCATGCAGGCATATTCTTTTTCTCATTTTTCTGTGTAATCTCTGTACCCCTCCCCCTCTTTGCTTTTTTGTTTTGTTATTTCTTTCTGAGACAGGGTCTCTCTGTAGTCCTGGCTATCCTGGAACTCGCTCTGTAGACCAGGTTGGACTCAAACTCACAGAGATCCGCCTGCCTCTGCCTCCTTAGAGCTTAAAGGTGGGCCCACCACCTAGCCCTTCTTTCTTTACACAGGTGGTCTGGGAGTCAGTCACTATGCGCCCATGGTGACCACAAGCTCATGGTTGCCTTTCTGCCGCAGCCGAATGAATGATGTCATTATAGGAGAGGACACTGCCTGGCCCTTGCCTCTATCTTAGCTATGTGCCCCTTTTCCTTATTGCTCAGGGCTCTCTTTTCTCCTCATCTCCTCTCTGGGGTCTGAACAATCATCTGTGAGCGCTTCACAAATAAACCTGGACTTTTAACTTTTAATTCAGTTTGATTTGGATTACTGAGTTCTAGGACAGGCTTGGTATCGGAGTATAGAAACCTTTCACTTATGAGACACAGTGGATTTCTCATTTTCCTGAGGGGTCCTGCAGATTAGTAGTTATCTAACTATTTGCTTGACATTTTTCCCTTCTTGAGGTTTTCTTCCTTAATTTCTGTGGGAGAAACTTATCATTTAACCTTGGAGCTATCGTCTTTAAGATTCCCCTATGTGGTGTATCCAAATCTCTATTGTGAAGGGAAAGACTTAGAAATGTTTTACTTTGTTTTGTTTTCTTTCTTACCAGTCCTTGGGTGTCTCAGTCATCACTATACTTTATTTTTTAGACAGGGTCTCTCACTGTGTAGCTCAGGCTGCCTTCAAATTCACCGTGTATGTAGCCTAGGATGTCCTTGAATCATCTTGCTTAGGCTTTCAGAGTGTTGAACTTTTTCATGACTTTTATCTCAGTTTTCAGAGGACTGAAACTTTTGTGGTTAGAGGGAAAGTTAGGGACCTATATATAAAAAACAAAACAGAAAAACCCACACCAAACAAACAATAACAACCAAAAAACCCAACCCCCTCTCCCCCATCTTTTTCTAAGTCCTGAAACTGGAGGACATATTTTTATTTTTACTTTTTTTTTTTTTTTTAAGACAAGGTCTCCATTATGGCTTCTTGACTGGCCTGGAACTCAGAGATCTGTGTGTCTCTTGACTCTCAGGTGCTGATATTAAAGTCATGGGCCACCATGCCTTTCTCTTTTGAGACAGGGTCTTGTCATTTGCATAGTCTGACCTCACACTTTTGCCTCAGCCTCTTGGGTGCTGGAATCACAGGTGTGCTGCACCACATGCTGCTCTGGTTACGAGTTTTCCTGATCTCATAGGCCAGGTCAGAAGACTGGGCACTGGGAGACAAGGCAGAAACAATGTCTCCCTATTATCACAAGGTCAAGCCTGTGGGACGAACCGCTTCCTGCCCTGCTCCTCAGTCCTTCCTGAGAAAAGAGAAGAAAGCTCTCCCTGGCTCTCTCAGGGCTTCCTGCTGCCTTGAGTTCTCTTATTCACCCCTTGATCAAAAGAGGTTGTGGCTTTGGTAGGAAAGGACAGAAGCAGGAAATGGGTCATCCTAGATCTGGGGAAGGTGCAGAGGGCAGGAGGGACAGAGGACTTAGCTACATTCTGTAAGTTTGAGGTGACTGTGGTCTGGCCCTCAGGAAGGTCTTCCATGGTGTTTATACATCTCCTATGTACTTTTTTAGTGGCCCACCCTAGATTCCACGTTTACTGCAGTAGCTAATTTTATCTGCTTTGCCAAAGGTAGCGCTCTCAGGAGCCTAAGGAGATGAATGGTGGCATTGAGAGATGGTCCACAGGACAGAAGTGAACTCAGCTTGAAATCTGAGTAAGTTCTAACGGCTTCAAGGCCACAGGCTGGTTTTCAGGCTGGGAACCCAGAGAGCAGGCCTGAGTAGAGCCCCTTGGTTTAGCATTTCAACAGTTTGTAAACCTCTAACTCAGCTCAGTCTGTACTTTTCTTTCTAGTTTGACTTAATACAGTCTCTCCCCATTCCTTTCCATCCGGGTCTTGCTTAATTTGAGTTCTTTGTGAAGACTCCTGCCGAGGCTATAATTTGAGTTCTAAATCTGTCGGTGGACCATGTGGACACAAGTTTCAACTTGAGCTATTTTCTTCTGTGGAGAAGCACTTGAAGGGTTTCCTGGGTCCTCAGCTCCTGAGGTAGTCAAGTCCAGGCAGGAGGTTGCTGCTTGGGGCTTGCAGTGTCCTGGGATGGTATGACCTACAAATATTTATCATTTGAAAGGAACTCCAGGTAACTGGAAGGCAGGCGGAGGTGGTGGTGCTCCCAGCACTGGGGAGGCAGAGGCAGGTGGATCTCTGTGTTCGAGGCCAGCCAGGACTACCAAGTGAGTTCCAAGATTGCCAGGGCTGCACAGAGAAACCCTGTCTCAAAAAACAAAGCAAAGCAAAACAAAGCAAAACAAACAAACAAAAGAGGTAACTGGTGACTTTGAAGTGAGAATAGTTTCTTGTTTCCTTTGTTATTGTAAGTCAGGATACTTTATAAAGAGGTTTCTTGAGTCCTGAGATGGCCTAGAATGTTACATGGCAAGAGGCAAGGAGCAGGTTGGTGTGTGTATAACTATACACACTTATGCACACAGGTACTCTTTCATCATTCATTCATTCATTCATTCATTCATTCATTCATTCATTCAAGACAGAGTTTCTCTGTATAGCCCTGGGTGTCCTGAAACTTGTTCTGTAGAAGAGGCTTAAAGGTGGGAGAATTAAGGAGTTCACCAGGCCCAAGATAAAGATAAGTGTTTTATTGAGGAACAACTTACACAGATAAGAGTAAATAACCGCTGTGCTGCGTCTTTCCTGCTCCAGAAGATGCAGTCTCTCCCCAACCCAAGAGAGTTAGCACTAGCAGCTCCCCTGGCTGAAATCACTGGCAAGGCCAGAGGCCAACACCCGGCTTTTTTTTTTTTTTTTTTTTTTTTTTTTTGAGACAGGGTTTCTCTGTATTGTTTTGGAGGCTGTCCTGGAACTCTCTCTGTAGACCAGGCTGGCCTCGAATTCAAGAGATCCGCCTGCCTCTGCCTCCCGAGTGCTGGGATTAAAGGCGTGCGCCACCACCGCCCGGCTCAGCCCTTCTCTTAAAATGTCACCAGAACCGGGCAGTGGCGCACGCCTTTAATCCCAGCACTCGGGAGGCAGAGGCAGGTGGATCTCTGGAGTTTGAGACCAGTCTGGTCTACAAGTGCGAGTTCCAAGACAGCCTCCAAAGCCACAGAGAAACCTTTCTGTGTCAAAGCAAAACAAAACAAAACAAAAAACAAATGTCACCAGACTAGCTGGAATTAACACACCTTTAATCCCAGCATTTGGGAAGGCAAAGGCAGGTGAATCTGAGTTCAAGGTCAGCCTGGTATAGGAATTGAACCCGGGTCCCCTAGAAGAGCAGTCAGTGCTCTTGACCTCAATGGTTTTGTTGTTTTTGT